CACGTTCTCCAGATAAATGTTCTTTTCTTCTTCAGACATGAAAGCAGTTACAGGAAATGATCTTCCAATGCCCATTAAAGTCTTGAAGTACATTTTCTTTCAAGCTGGATCGTCAATGCTCATTTCAACTATTGGTACCCCAAGGAGGAGTTGCTTGCTCTTAACACCAGTAACTTTTTTTCATCTTAGATATCTCTACATAAGTTCCATGAATCAAAATTCAAAATCCCTCAAAAACCGAGCCGATAACAATTCTAGGTTGCGTATAGGAAACCCCTAATTCACCAAATTCAGCAATATGAATAGATGAAAAAATATAACCCCATTTTTCAGTGCAAAATAGATCAAAACATTTGCTTGGTACCTGAGGAGTAGTCACCGGACTATTTCCACAGCCTCTGCTATTGAACACCACAACTCGCCAGCCTTTACTTCTAGCTCTCACCAGCATATGCCTAACGTAAGTGTCTCCACTCCCCCCGGTCAGGCCCGGCTGCAACGTAGCCTTGTTAGCATATTCATTCATAAATACCCCTTTTTTCCACTCTCCATGGCCCGATTAAGATCACATAACATACCAGTAGGATGAGCACGGGAGAATCCGACGGAAGCCGGCGATTGTCTCCGGAAACCCAATCGAGGGATACCGAACCACCGCACCTGGTGCGCAGACACTCGCGCTGAAGCTTGACCTCGGGGAGGGACCGGAAGAAGGCGGCGTAAACAGTCTCGACGTGCCGATTCCAGCCAATGATAGGGTACGGATGATAGGGATTGTTGTGAAGGGATTTCAATAAGGGAAGGAAAGCATCTCGAGCCCCGCCGATGACTTCCACTGAGCAATGAGGAATGACGTTTTCGGAGAGGAGGGGCGCCGCGGTCGTTGCGGCGGCGGCGGCGCCTTTGCTGCAAATAGTGGCACGCGGAACAGTGTATGAGGGCCCGGGAGAGAAGCGGCGAAAGGAGGAAGACATAGGGACGCCGGTAGTGCCTGTGGAGGCGCTAGCCATTAGAAAATGGACGACGATGAGCCAGAATTACCCGTTCCATACTTCTTCCATATCATACGGGCATACGATTAGGCACTTTACTTCTGCGTGTAAAATTGGAAAAGTTTCAAACTTTTGTTTTTAAATACAAAAATTCTTGACAATTGATACCAAGGGGTGTTTGTTTTTTCTGCTGCGGTCTGCGGACCACTACTGTAGACATCTGCAGAAGAAGTGGTGGACCGAAGGTCTGCGGTCTGCAAGAAGAAGACTGTTTGTTTTTCTAATGTCTGTAGACTGCTATATAAATTAATGGTGGTAGTGTAC